CCCCAAAACCCCAAAACCCCAAAACCCCAAAACCCCAAATGGAACAGAGGGGGTTGGAATGAGGAAATTGGAGTGGGAAAATGGGGTTTAATAAGATGTTTACAAGAGTTAGCAAGACAGCTTTAGTACAGAAAATCATAAGACCAGCTATGTAAGGCCTCATGGTTAAAAATTATGGGAAAGGTCTCTTTGTTATGGATAAGGTTCTGACTTAGCTTCTTATAGGAGAGCACAAGGAATGTTACCGGTGATGCAAAGGTAGTCAGAGGCGTTAACACTTTAGGTCATTTACAGGTATTGTTGATACAATGGGGCTGCTCGAGGCATTTGGAAAAGAATTTGACTTTGAAAGGGACAATTATGAAGCTGTAAGGTGTTTTTAGTACTTTTGGTGTTGTCATTGATTTGTTTGTGATAAATAATTCAGGTCGCGGAAAAAGCAGATTTTTTGAGAACTAAAGGATTTGCCTTTCATGAAACAAGTGATGGAGTGACTATGATCCTTTCAAAGAAAATTGAAGATAAGACATTTGAAATTAGTTTTAAAAGCAGGCAGCCAGGGCATGAAAGTGAGGGATACTCGTTAAGTGATGATGATGACATTAATGAAGCAAGCTATACTGATTTTACAGTGTAAGTTTCCAGAAAATCCTGGTTACTTTCTATATCATAATCTAAATATGGGAATAGATACATCACCAAGGAAAACAAAGGAATAATCTATGAATGTACATGTTTAAACACAGAAGTCTCAATCTCTCAGGTTATTTTCAACAACAATATCGAAAATTTCAAGAAAATTCCAGTGACTCAAAGAGAAGAAGCAGTGTATCTTGGGCCTGACTTTGTATCAATGCCAGAGGATATCCAGAAGAGCTTGAGCAACTTCCTCATAGACTCTGGACTTGACCAAGAAACAGTAGCTTTCGTTGAAGTGATGTCCCTTGATAAGGAGCAAAGACTCTACATGAAATGGCTTAGAGATGTAGAAACCTTTGTAAAGGGCTCAGAGATCTTCTAAATTTGTGGTTCAATTATTAGTTATAACTCAGGGGTTTTGGGGTTTTGGGGTTTTGGGGTTTTGGGGTTTTGGGG